AAAGCGATACGCACAACCAACCACACCTGTGTATTTGACATGAACGAAAGAAACAAAGTCTGCCGATGTTATTTATTTTGCTCCTATGAAATACACAGGTGTTGTTGGTTGTGCTTTGGTTGGTTGCTTTGACATAAGTTCTTATTGTACGTACAGACTAACTAAGTCTATAACTTAAGTAAAGTGATTGATTTGATAACGAAAAAATTAAGATTACTTTGAAAATTTTAAACTTTTTTCAGCAGGCCTCAAAATACGTCTTATATAAAACGTTGATGTCATGTTCCATATAAATAACTATCTAAAACGGTTTTTTTAAGTTATTAATAATAATTAGTAAATAGTACTAAAGCTTATGTTCATCCAAAGCTAACATAATTTCTTATTTTCAAGTCAATTTTAGATTTCTGTAATAATACAAAATTTCCAAAAATAGCAAACAAATCATCTAGTAGCTATATGTATTTTAACTTCTGTGTTAAAGTCCCAGAGTACATCGCATGCATCAAATATGAGATTTCAAGGTAAATTGACATACAGAGAAGACAACTACTAACTCTGCAGACGGTTAAAGTTAGCAAGGTATTCCCAAGCACAGTATGCACTTAAGTTAAATTAGGAAAAATTGTAAGAAAAGAGTTTCTCCCACACATAAACCAAATTGAAATATACACGAACATGTCAGGAAAATTCGACCACACAATAAATTCACCAAGACAAGTTCGTCTCACTGACAGTTCGAGTAGCAAGCAAAAGAAATAAGTTCCACAAACACGCGAAGAAATGTAGCAACATCAGAGGTAACAAGACGGTAAGACGGTAAGAAACTTTCCTGTGCTGATAATCCAATCAGGGAATATGTCGGCTTCAAATTGCGTTTCCATAAACAAAAACATTATGGATTCCAAAGTTAAGAACCAAACAGAAAAAGCAAAAAAAACAAAAATAGGAATTAAGTACATTAAAAACGAAAGCCACTGCAATTGTTCTTCTTAAGCATAGAAAAAGAAAGAAGAAAAAAATATATATGAAAATAGTAGCAGAAGTAGAAGATATATATTCACCTGAGGCTAATTGAAAGCGAAGGCAAAAGTGAAAGAAATAAATTCATGAGCTCGGTTTCGCCAACTACATGCCAAATACAACCAGAAGAATTTACAGCAATTTAGCGGAAACGGAAGTAAAAAAAAGCATGTACGACAGCTACAAGTAAGAAAGCATGATGTTGCAATTTGAATGTGCCGCCGTGCAAGAGACGAAGATGAACTACAGCAGAAATCACAAACGACACCAAGAAGCACAGCCTGACTGACAAATCCAAATCCTGCAAAGTGCACAACCAAATACAGCTTTTAGGCTGCCTTGAGTAGCCTGGAACAGAGGCGAGGGTGATAAATGGATTTCTGTCATTTTGAGCGTAATCGAGTTGAAAAAACACTCAGTGGATGCGGTGAATTTAAAAATGAATAACTTATGAAATTTCTTAACACAAAAATAAATAAAATAAATCAAAATAACATAAATGAAAGTTTAAGGATTAAGTGGTAGGTACATAGGTGAGATGGCAAGGAAAATTCGATGGATTTTGTTTCTCATTTTTTGAAGTTTTTCCTTTACCACAAAACATATTCTTCTATTGATTTATTGTAAGTTACTTCTAATCTCTGTCAGAAATGAAGTTTGTGCAAATGCTATTACAAAGTGATTGTTTGAAATATTTATTTACCTCATCAGTTAAGTGACTGAGTGATTTACCATTAAATTTTTCTGTATCAATACGAATTCAAAAATGTAGGAGCTTGTAAGCTGCCAACATAATGTGTTGGCAATAAATCATTGGCAAACAACTAACAAATTCGGTGGACAGGTGTTGGAATTTAGGTCAAATACTTTTAAAAACTTTATTATATATCGATTAGGTAACGCTGTTGTAATATTTGGTTTTACTTATGCTGCTGTCTAAGTCAATTATGTTAATAAAATAAAGGAGTACATTAAATTATATTAAATATTTCAAATTCCTTCAACTTCTACTTACAGGAGAAAACTCCTTTAAGTATCAACTTACCTTTCCATTCATTAGAATAGAAATTTGTTTGCTCAGTCGAACATTGATGTTTCCCCAACACCTCATTCGTTGCATATTTTGGTACTGTAAAAATGGTAATTTATGCGCATCTACTTTATATGAAATGTATCAATAAAATAAAATAGCAACAAATGGTTCCACAACAAAGCCGGGAGAAGTAATTCCATGTACCCTCCGAAAACGCAATAAAAAATGCAGACAATGAAATTAATTACTAAATTAGCCATTAGAAGGAGCAGCTGTGGTCATCAGTTCAAAGCCTTATGGCTTAATAACAAAATTGGCAAGGGGTATTGTTGAATTTTTTTTTAATACCTTTTTCTATTTCCTCAAAATAATACTAATATTAAAAATTTTTTAAATAATTTTAAAGTAAATGCAAGTTCTAAATAGATTTAAAAAGCGCTTTCTATAAGTACAGACTCTCTTTTTTTATAATTCACAGTAACTTTTAATATTGTTGTGAATATGTAATTTAAGTAAACTTTGATATAATTTCTAGGAATGTCAGTTTAGTTAAAAAACAAGTTTTGAATTTTTAGTTTTGGATTTGGATTTTTATTAGGAAAAATTGTATTTGTGTTTGACAAAATACAGAGCATAATAAATACGGTTACATTAAACTCAAGTTGACTATTAATTTCTCATCAGGATCCAGTGATCGCGAACGACCACGTAAATAGGGTGGATTAAACGCAACAATAATATAATATACTCTGATTACCAATCTTCATTGTCGTGTATAAAGACTAATCACAGTCGTGTATATAGATTAATCATAGTTATATTTCTAAGTACTAAAAACTCATACCATACGCTACAACTCCATTTAATAATATATTAAAATGGTCCCAAATTATGAAAAAATATTAAAATTAGAGAATTCGGATTGATTGGTTGAATTGGTTGAACATTTCGAAAAATATTAATTTCAATTAATTTTTTTTTTAATAATAAACAATACTACAACAAATCCTGGAAGAATCCCAAAAATATAACTTCGACAACAACAATCGTTTTGTCAATCAGAAAGCAGCGTTCGATAGCGATGACTGAGCTTCATATCTGCAAAACTGGTAAGATTCTGCAGAATGACAATAAGAAGTATTCGTAGCTCTATCTAGTTTCTGATACCGTGCAAAGTTTTAGACAAACTGATCACTTATATAATAATCACTTCAATTTCGTCATGGAAGTGATAAGAGCGCATATCACATTTCTACTCACGTGTCCAGCCCCTGGTTTATGTCGACGACATCGACATCATTGAGCGTATTAAGCATGATATTAAATGCGGATATGCGATAAATGGTGAAATATGCATAGCTTTACTATACTTTTGAATTTGTCAAGTATTTTACTTATCTTGGTATCACCGTAATAAATAAAAAAGAGTTTAGCGTGAAGATCTGACAAAAAATTACGATTACCAATAATTGTTACTAAGAGTTTAATTAAGGTGTATGGCTTCTGACAACCATAAAACTGTGGATGCTATCACAAAATGGTGAAACAACATTTGGAGCTCTGAAGAAAAAACTTCGAATCTGAATAAATTACGAGCTGTATGAGGTTTCTCACGACATGGATATAATTAAACAAATTAACATCCATTAGCTTGGCTAACTTGGTTGTGTCATGGGTATAGATGCAAATGCTCCACCGAAAGAGTCTATTTAAAGCAGTTAGAGAAAGAAGGCGTAGAGGTAGACTATGTCTCTGATGGAGTAATCAAGTTGTGAGAGCATTAACCACACTTGATATCCAAGACTGGAGATAGTGCAAACGCAGCTGATGCGCCTGAAGAGTATTACTACGTCAAGCCGAAAACCGAAAAGTGGTGTTAAAGCCGCCATTTCAGTAACTATGTTTGTATTAAACAATTCTATTAATACAATATTCAACACAATTTAATTAAATTATTTATTACAACTAAGTATAATTAAGTTTATATTAGTATGATATAGAACAATTCTATAACGTTGCTACAAGCATACAAAGTTTTTCCTTCAAAAACAAAATTAATTCATAATTCTTGATTCCGGAAAAGAAAAGTATTAAATGAAATGAGGATGGAATATTCCATTCTAGTTAAGTAAGAATTGAGTTACAAAACATTTTCCGCAAAAACCTTTGGTTAAATAAGAAATCCCAGCTGATATTAAAAGTAGACTCTTCTCACAGCACAACTCCGTTCACACATGACTTTTCATATCTTCAGTAAGATTGAGAATAAAGAATTATTGAAGCAGATATATACGTAGCAATAGGAAGATTGTTGTATGTAGTGAAAGGAATGATTGTTTTTCTGTTAATTATATTTTTATATGATATGATTTATTTATTTATGGTCAACATTTTTCTTAAATTTTTTCTCCATTTTTTAAGAGAAGGAGAGCATATATTACTGAGATAAATTTTTTTAGTTAATTATTTAATTTTTTTTTGTTGATTATATAACTATTTCCAACACTACTAATTAATAGTCTTTGAAAATTGTTGTTATTTTTTATGAATTTATTCACTTGTGTGTTCATATATATAAATGTTATTTTTATATATCAACAAATTATATATATTTACAATACTTTTATAAAAAAAAATATATAAAAACTTATATGTAACTGAAGAGTTTCATCGACAATTATCAAAATTTTTGACATTTTAATAAATTTTAATAAAATTTATAATTAAATAAAACTAACGTGTTTTGCTTAAAAAAAAAATAATTATAAAAACAATGATTATAAAAACAACAAAATTATTATAGTTATAATGCCAAAATTATCAGTTGAAATTTTTGTGAGAATAAATATAATAATAATATTTGTTACTGAAGCTAACCATCGACTATCCATCGGAGTATTGGATATAATTATAAATTTAAATTTTAATTTATAAGAATAGAAAACTAACGTATCTTAATATTAACAAATTTTTAATAGGTTAACTTAATTACTAAGTTATAATACCAAAACTAAAAATTAAAAAGAAGTGAACATAAAAATGGTAATGTTATAAATTATATAAAAAGAAAATAACTTCCATTTCATTAGAAATGAGTAAGAATTTAAAATTATTTTCCATTAATTTTTAAATTGAATTCAATTTTTATTGCTGGCAGTATTACTCAACCAAACACCATCTACCGTCAAAATTCTAAAATTTGTTCGAAAGCTTTGACTGTGAAATTTTGTAAAAGCTTAATGGCTTTTCCATTCGAAAAATAAATAACGACTACTTTACTCTAACCGCACATTAAAGCCATTATCCTTTTATTGGTAAATACTGTGTGTTAAGGACAAACAACACGTACTACTTTTCGGTACTTACCTGTTTCTGCAATGAGTCGGAAAGTTCTTCGATGCATTCCTTACGCTCGAAGCGCTCAAATTTAAAACTGTTGGACCGATAAAGCTCATTATCCTCGCGGCGGCGATTGCGGCAAAGGCGCCTCGTTATGCTGTCAATATGATTAAATTAAGTATTAAATTACTTAATTACAATATTTAATTACAAACGTAACGTATTAGAACATAAATATAATAATAATGTAAATGTAAATGTGAAGCAGTAAAGGCCAATACGAACCTTTAGTATAATAAAACTAAATGAGCATGAAAAGTACAAAAGCTCGCCGAGTAAATAGTAAAAAGGAAACAACGAACCGGAAGTAAGGCACATAAACAATGACATGGCTGGAGGTGTTGTGTGTACTGCTGTTATGAATTATTTATGAAATGTTTGTTTGGATTGCTAAAGCCGGCAAAATGATTAGAGAGCAGCGAGGATGTGGGACAATGGTAAAGTTCTACAAAAGTTTTATTCTATATATTATGTTTATATTTATATTAATTTTTTTTGTGTATGACTTTTTCATGTAATCAACTTTGAACTGTTTTATGTGAGCGAAATGTTGCTTGTTAATTTAATGTAACGATAAAAAAGGTGTTGAATTGCAGCACTTAATTGCTACAACTTCATTAATTGCATACAAAAGCAAGAAGAAGCAGCAGCATGTGTTGTAGGTTTTAAATTGTCTGTGCCCGACACCACACAATATTCATACATTTTTTTATGTATTACACAATTATGAAAATAAAATGGAATAAAGAGAAAATAGTCACTCTACGGTTGCCATATCCAACTCCTATCTTCCTGCTCCTCTGCAGATATGTTGGCAACACTTATTGGCAGGAAGTATGCCATAAACGTAATAACACCTGCTGTGTTGCACATAACTAAGCACATACCTAGTGTGGACCAATACTCCACCAAACCACTGTACACTTAGTTCTCACGCGCTTAAGCTGTGCAATGCATGAAAATTTATTAAAGCCCCGTGTAAAGTTTGCATATGAATGGGTTTCCCCATTTACATTTTTTCCTGTTTTTTATTATCATTTCTACTCTTTTACACTATTTTGTGTTTTATTATCCTTTTTTTTATTTTTGTTGTATTTTTATTAAAAGTTTTTGTGCCTACTGCCAACGTTGTTTTATTTTGCCTGAATTTTATTTCTGTACTAAAATGGGGTACTAAAAGTGGGACAAATACACTTGATGAAAGGTCTACAAGTGTATTGCTTGTATTCACAAAAAAAATATTTTTGTTTTATATTTTAAACCAAAATAAATTGGAAAATATTTAGTAAAAGCTGCCAGGATATATTTTGTTCATCTACAAGTGGAAACACTTAAGTGGCCACATATTTAATACTAAAAGAACTTCTTTATTGACTAAGTTATAAACCAAATTTACTATCTAATTTTCCACTATATTTCATTTCCATTTAAAGTTGGCAATTTACCCGTTTAGCAATTTTCTTGTTCTATGAAAAAAGTGAAAATGCAATTTATGTGCCACACTTGCTGCAATATACTTATACTTATATTAGTTTAATTTAACTTTTATGCAAAACTTCATTTATATTAAAATTGCAACGGCGTCGTTGTCCCTCCCTGCATGTTAGAACCATCGAGTGCCCAGCAATGCAAGCATTTCTATTGTTAGCTGGAACAATGGCAAGTATACTCGGCTCTGTGGCAACGTTGTGCGTGCCATTTACTAAGTCAAGTCAACAATTGAGGTTGCCACAAGTTGGATACACAGCTCATCTTAACAACTTGAAAACAATACACAGACGCAACCAAACGGGGTTGGGCATACAAACAAGTAACTCTTCCGTTACTGCTGCACATCTTAATGTTTGTTTAAGAAACTGGTGGAAATATAGTTCACAGACACTACAAATACAGATACTCATTGTGACAATTCTTGCGACATAAAAAGTAAAAGTCATAACAAAGAAAACATCATGGAAAGGTTAACATTTAAACGACTTAAGCATACTTCTTTTCTGAGGCAAGTCACACTATTGTGCTTGCTATTTCACACTTACCCGCAGGGTTTGCAGGGCGTCATATGCAGATCCCAATTCAAGTGAAAATTAAACATTCTCAGCTTTGCAACGGCGCGTTGTCTTAAGGAAATATCCGGTGCAGTCGAGGGTGTTGGCTGCGCTGAAGTTATCGCAGCACCGGAAGCAGTTGTCGAATTTTCTCTAACAGGATTTGGGTACATCATGACAGTGCCACTTGGTGCAGAGCTAGCCATTATATGGTTAGAAGAATGTGATTGGCGATGATGTCGATGACTTCCACTATGAACACCTGAGGATTCCTTTATTGTGTAAAAACCACCGGATGAACTAAAGGAAAAAAAATATTAACACATTTGTAAGATATGTTAGGTAAAATTGTGATTTGAATAAATGTGTATATTTTAAAAATATATTTAAAAATATTTTAATGAATTTAATAAGGTAATATACGGCCCTATGCTTCTGCTGGAAGTTAAAGGAATTTATATATATGTATTATACACATATATATGAAATATAAAATACAACAAAAATATGATGTCATATATAATTAATCAAAAATACAAGAAAATTGTATAACATAAATCAAAATATGTTAAATTATAAAACATTTTATATTATTTCCAGTCTCAAAAAAATATTTACAAATATTATAATTAAATATAAGAAATAATTTCAAGACCCCTGATGATGGGTATTTAGCAATACTCGAAAGATTTGTATGGTCAGTCAAAAATTCAATTGATTACTACTATTTACTACTATTGAAAACAATAGTTTAAACTAAGAATTTAGTTTCTTTCGTTACAAATCAATTTAATATAAAATATTTTGTATATATCAAATAGGTTCCTCATCAATAAAAACTATTATTTTGATGGAATATCACACAAAGTTAAAGTTTGTATAAAAATCTGTTACTTACGAAACTAATAGTCTATTTAAAGGAAGATTAAAATTTAAATAAAAACAAATTAAATCAAATAACTATGTCAGATCTTGAAAACGTTCTCACTTTCAAATGAACTTACTTGTGTACTGATATAGATTTCACACAAATAGTTATATTTCAAATAGTTGGATACCAAAATTTGAAATTTTCATAAATATTGTACATGGGATGAATAGTTTATTATTCACCGTAACCACTTCACTGAATGCTGTACATAAAAAAAATTCTAGATCCTAGATTGTTGTAAATTTACAATAATATTATACTTGGGATCAATAATTTAGTATTCCACCGTTATCACTTCATTCAATTTTGTAAATAAAAAAAAAAAAATAAGAAGATCCCAGATCCAACAGTGCAGAATACAACGTCGTTATTGTTGTAAATTTACCTGTTTTTGTACATAGCTTCGTTATCTACAATACATTATTATTTCTTATTATTATTATTATTATTTCTTATTTCTTTCAACTCAAATAAAGCTAAAACTGAACTATTATATATAGAACTCAACTGTTATATATACAAAAATTTAAATTAATGAAAAAGAATAAAGTTTAAATATTAGATATTTGGAAAAGAGATAAATACAGAAAAAAAAATTAAAATAGAGGTATTGTTATGAATACTATATATAGACTATATAGTCTATATATGATAACATTAAAAAAGCTATGTTGATTTCTTTAAACTTTTACAAATTTATGACTGTCTATGCAAATCATAACACAACTATAATAACTAGGTAATGCTTTTATCTGGTATATACTATATTATGCAGAATTTTTTGATTAGTCATGTAATAGTAATTTCAGAAAAATTTTTCTTAGTCACAGAGGAAAAAAAGAACTTTTGTTTTTCAGTGCTTTTATAATTACAAGTGAATTATTATATAAATTTATATAAGAATATTATAACATTTTTTTGTTAAATTCTTTAATAACTAATGCATGTACCACTAGAGGAAATCCTCTAGAATAAGGAAAGTGAGGAAAGTTTGAATTCTCAATCAAGTAAATTCTTAAACTAACCATACCACCATTTCATAGCCCAACAAATACCCATTATTAGTAAATTTTAGTAAAATAATTGATTGCCATACTATGGCAATATACTTCTATATTAACTTTCTATATTGTAATTTCTATTTCTATATTTTCTTATATATATTACTATTTCTATATAGAAATATACTTCTTTGGTACTGCATAAGTTATTAAGGTAATAATAGTGATTTTCAGATATAACTATGGTTGATCTACACTTTAAAAATCTGTGGTACATCTAGTAATATATAGTTTCAATTTTTAAGGATATCGTTTACAAGCTATATGTATTTAGTAGTCCCATTATACTTTGCAGTATTGATTTCAGTCTATTAAGTTCTTTTAATTCCGAATCAGTTTTTCTCCCCATCAGTGCTATTCTGCCGTAGTTAGCATACCTAAGTGTTCTAAGTATTCAGCCACCTTTATTGACCTTATTTAATTTTAACAAACCGATTATTGTTAACTAGGGTCTGCAAGCAACCGCCTTTTTTTACGAAGTTTTTTAATCCAATCGTATTTCTGCTAAGCTTAACATCTATATTAGATTCATAACATGACAATTCAATCTTGAGCTTTCAAAGATTTTTGCTATTGTTTTAAAGATTTTTCAACATCAATTAATGATTTCGAGATCTATAGTATATCAATTTAACTTGTCAACAATATCAAGAAATTTGCTAATGTGACTTCTCTTAACTTAATTCCTCAAGTTAAGTGTGTCATCCTAAAAGCCACCTTTAACCATGTCGGATTCAAAAATGTCCTCAATTGGTAAAATTAGCTAAACTGGATTAGCTAAATTAGCTAAATTTCTTTGCTATAAGGAACCTATATCACATTGCATATCACAAAACATATGAGCGCGAAATCTTTCACGACTATATAAATCTTTAATTCCTGTTTCATTTCTAATTGTGTGACTTACGCCAAGAAAAAAAAATGACGTCCGCCAGTCCGACCCGCTTACATTACCCTGTTTTTGAACTTTTTCTCTAGCTCCATTTATACTGATTTGTTCCTAACTATGGATCACAACACCAAATACCTCTCACTCTACATCTAAGAAGCACAATCATGTTTTTCCATTATACTTCTTTCTTAAAATGACAGCTTTCTCAATCCAGTTGCTGAACTTTTCAACACTCTGAACTACCGTCTCCGAAGATTTATATAATTCTAATAGCTGGTTTTAGCGGATTAAGGATTTATGTAGATTCAATATGGCGTTTTCCATTTTTATATATCAGCGATTGAAGTCGTTATTATTAAGCTCTGGTATTAATGTGAAGCACATGCCATTTCTGACATGAGTCGTCCTTGTTGTCTGCGAGTAGCATCCCCAAGACATCTAGATCAGTGTCATATTATGGCTAGTTGGTGGCACAGATTGCCTTTATATCGTCTTCGACCGCATTTTCTACCAAGGACTACTAAATCAAACACCTGTCAATTTATAAGTACTAATCCATTATATGAGTTATATTTAATGAATCATAGTTTTTTATTTCCAACAAGAGTCCATATTCGCCGAAATATTTGTACATCTATATCCAGTCCTATGCAGAAACAGGTTTAAGCTTTTGAAAGCCCTATTTCTAACTCACTCAGTGATATTTCCAATATTAGTACTAGCTAGATACTTGCATTTATCACTGCTTTCGGTTTCTTGTACCCACCAAAGTTCTGCAACGAAAATTTCTATCCATAATTGAGAAGTTGAAGGAATTTGATATTTTTTCCACTTTATCTATCTACCTACCTTCTCTTTTTTTGTGACAACTAAGCTTATAGCTATTAAACGAATTCATTAAATAAGAAAATATACAAACTTAAGGAATACATGATTTGGAAATACTTAATTTGTTTTATAAAAAAATTATTCTTTCTAACTTAAGACACAAAATCTTGGTAGATAATCGCTTTTATAATAAATTTATAAAATACTGTTCATATGTAGTATGGTTCATAATTTGATACTCTTGTATAACATATATCCGGCATCTGTATCAAAATTATCCATTTCTGCATTCTATGTGACTCTAAATACTATATAAGTTACTATCCTAATAATAAATAAATAAATTATTAGCAGTAATTATTAATAAATAATTAGTATTGTATATTTAATTTCTAATATATCTATATGCGAACCCATTGATTGCATTTATAATTATGAGGATTTAAAAATCAAATTTAACCTGGTTTTACTTTCATTCACTTTTAGTACAAATTTACATCAATTTCAAAAAATCAAACTACAATAATTTTAGACGTATTTGGAACAGTAGTGAATTACAACAACAAAATTTTTATTATTTTTAATTACTTGAATTTTTGGCTCACCATACAGCTGTTTCGAATATTGCCAAATACCCATCATCAGTGGTCTAGGAACTATTTCTTATATTTAATTATTCATAAATAATTTTTGAAGATTGAAAGGACCAAGGTTTAAATGTGTACCCTGCCAAATTTGAACGTCAGAGTCAGTGTTTATTAGCCCACTGACCCAAAGTATAATTCAACTTATACGTTCGAATCTGGTATCTCTCATAACAATTGACTAAGAAAATCAAAAATAAAATTATTTTATTTTTTCTAAACTTCTAAAAAATTATCTCTAACCAACATTTACATCATATATGAAAATAAAATATGCACTAATGCTTTAATAAGCTATACACGTGTGTTATCATAACTATTGACTAAGAAGCCACAACTACAACTTCACCATTTCATATATTTTAAAAGGATTAATAGGAGTACCAATGTTCCATGTTGGAGTAATTAAATGAAATTTATTTTGTGAAAGTAAGTAGAAACGCTGAAGGTGAGTAGAAAGCCGTAGTAGGTAAGTAATTCAATGCTAAACCAAACCCAATTGAAGTGTCTTAAAAAGTGATTCATTAGCATTATCACCTGTTTATTTATGCAAATTACCAGATTAAAACAGCTCAAATGTTAACGTGCCAAGGCACAAAGGATACAATTACATAATTTGGCAAAGACAATTCCTACCAGCAGTCGAGCTCGTACGCAAGTCGCAAACCTAAATTGTGATTATTTATTACGATGTTGTATTCCGCGTGAAGTGCCTATGAAAACCAAAATTAGTATCTGCTCTTGAGAATATTAAACTCCAGATGAGGACTTCTCCAACATTAAAGCAATTTAATTAGATTTCAGTGCACTTATGTTCATACTTGTGGTTGGAGCGTAAATACACTCTTCATATGCATATCTGAGATTTTAGTGGGAAGTTACTAACCACAATCTTGATTGTTAAATATTCATGTTTATTAGTCGATAAATATATTTTAAAATTC